TTTTTTTTCTTTTGTTTTGTCCTCTAAAAACGATGTGCGTCTTATGGTCAGGTGCGTCTTATGGTGCGAAAAATACGGTAGGTAAAGCTTCTTCCAATTGAGTTAAACTCTTGATAGTTTCATGGACATGCCTGTGTAGTTCCCTTAATTACATTATGAAGTGATTGGCTATTTTCATATTCTGGGATGTTTTTCTCCCTGTTTCTCAAGTCTAATTTGTATTAAGATTTCTTAATGGTCTTCCATTCAAATATTAAAACTTACTTGCTGAAGCTGAAGTCAATTTTTAATTGCCAATTCTTTCTTTACAGAAATGAATAGAAAGTCTGAGTAAGAAATTGCCCTGAGAGAGATATTCTTTAAAAGCCTTTTTTAAAACAACAGCAACAACAACCACCATTTGTCTGAAACGGTATAGTGTTTCTTGTCTGAGGAGGGGGTTGGACTAGAAGACCTCCAAGGTCCCTTCCAACTGTGTTATTCTATTCTTTTCTATTCTAATCCCCCCCTGCTTTGTGCTTTTTGCTATGATAATTCTTAGGGGCCAATCTCTTGTGGACTATAGTTTTAAAAGCTTCCTGTAAAAGGAAAGATGAGCAAACTTCAGTACTTTGTTCAAATGGACTCTGCACCTCTTCATAACTAGGAACTTTTACATTGTGGCCATCAGATAGGGTGAGTGTTTCTAAGTTAATGCTAGATATAGAAACAGATAGTTAAAATAACTTTGTGTTGGCTTTTCTTAGCAAAAGTATACAAAGCTTTGATTCTATCATGGTTTCTTGATTTTTGTTTCTTGAAAATCCTAACCACAGATCCATAAGTTTAATTTATATTCCATAACTCAGTGCTGGCAGCTAAATAGAATTCTTCTGTTACCTCTTGACCTAATCTGATATGTTCGCATATATTATTATAACAGGCACATTTTATATTCTATTTATTGTAAATGAAGTTTTGAGAACATTCTTCAGATATATTTTTATCAAGTCTTTAACTGAAAAACATAGCATTCCCTGAAAGCAAGTAAAGCTTCTCAACAAAACATCAATCAGCATCTGCGTTATGTGATACACAAAGCTTGATTACTTTTGTGTTGTTTAGATTAAAAACACTTACCTCAACCTCTCTTTCAGTAAGTGGTGGAGAACTGCAATAAGAACAGGAATAATTTATATGTTACATTTAAAAGCTATTTATTCTGCATACTTAATCAGCATCTAAGGCCTTTTTCTTAATTGGCTAATAATCAGCTAACTGTATATATACTGTAATTAGAGAATGAAAAAATGTGCTATGACATATCTTACTCAAACTCAAGCCCATTTTAATTCATATTTTATGATTTGTAAATTTCATTATTACATTGCAAGATACAGAACCTTGGTTCCTTAAAAAGTAAAGATTTTCCCACACAGAACCAGCATCATTATTGTGGCGGTAAGTTGAGCATTTCATGAGGTTATAGGATGTGAATCATGCATCTCTAGAGTTGAGTGACAAGCATACTAAAATATAACAAATACACCATATTACTTGTAATAATGGACTGTATGTCATTGATATTACAGGATTATGAAATGACAAAGCTCAAGGTGACATATAATATTTTATTTTGGAATAACCCTGGAAAATCTGAGAGTGATAATTGGCTCAGGGTCTCTCACAGTCGACTGGGAAGTAAACCCTGTCACCATAGTCTTAGTTCTGTAAAACTGTATTACTTTACATTTTTTTTGTTACGTTATGGCCATATAGACAAAGGTGGAATTCAGAGAATCTCCACCCCTTCCCAACTCACTTTAATGAGGTTAAGTATGTCTTTCATTATGTATGTTCAGACCATAAAATACCACTCACAGATGGATTTACCTTCCTGGAAATGGTGTTTGTACATGAAGTTTTCGTAAAAGAGTGTCAGGAATGTTGGGCATAACATCACATCTATTCTTTGACTCCTCTTCCTCCACTGAGAAAGCGACTGGTGAAGACCCTAAAGAAAAAAAATGTTTCATTGCTAAAACAAAAACAACTAAACAATTGAAGAATGTTAAGTATCGCACTCTGATGGTTCAAATGTTTTGGGAAGTTGGGTGGGGGGAAAAGGGCATTCTGCTCTAAGCAACCAATTTCAGAATAAATTTAATCCAAAAATATTCAATTTCTGGATTACTGATTAAACTCAAATACTCCAAAGGGATGATCAAAGAATATTCCATTATACAAAAATTAAGCAGACTTTTATTTTTCAGCAAATGCATAATAAATCCCTATATTCTGCTTGGTAGGTTGTCCGGTAATAGTTTTAATCTCAAATACAAATCATAAGATACAAATATTATTGTAATCAACTGAATATACCGGTAACTATATTTAAGACCATGGGTCCACTGTTGAGTCATTTGCCAATTTTCTACACGGCACATGTACAATATACACTTGTATAGTTTCCATAGCAACAAAGAGCAACAAAGAGCAACAAAGATGATTAAGGGACTGGAGGCTAAAGCATATAAGGAACGGTTGCTGGAATTGGGGATGTCTAGTTTAATGAAGAGAAGGACGAGGGGGGACATGATAGCAGTGTTCCAATATCTCAGGGGCTGCCACAAAGAAGAGGGAGTCAAGCTATTTTCCAAAGCACCTGAAGGCAGGACAAGGAGCAACGGGTGGAAGCTAACCAAAGAGAGAAGCAACCCAGAACTAAGGAGAAACTTCCTGACAGTTAGAACAATTAACCAGTGGAACAACCTGCCTCCAGAAGCTGTGAATGCTCCAACACTGGGTTTTTTTAAGAAGACACTGGTCAGCCATTTGTCCGAAATGGTATAGGGTTTCCTGCCTGAGCAGGGGGTTGGACTAGATGACCTCCAAGGTCCCTTCCAACTTTACTATTATTATTAATAATGTTCTATTCCCCTTTCATTCCAGTAGTGGTGAACTTACAGTTCTCCAACTGTTATCCACTCATGTCCTACACTCATTCAGAAAGAGATTACACATTAAGTCATCCTTACTAAAGATTTTTAGCAAAAGGCTCAGCGTTAAAAAAGTGTTGTGGCTACGAAAGTCATGTCTCCTCCCATTTAATCAAATATATATGCATATATTTAATTTAGTTGTATTTCACCTCTTTCCTGTTCAGCAGCTTCACTAAGATCAGGAAGTTTAAGTCCAGCTAAATTTTGATTTCTCATCAATATATGTTCCTGGTGAAGGAAAAAAAAACTTGAATTATTTCTTAATATTTTATTTTAAAAATAACTTTTCAATAACAAAGTCTACTAAATAGAGTGTTATAAATACATAAAAAGCTGACAGTAATCTAGGAATTGCTTGATTTAGTAAGAAGAATCTTGAGTCTAAATTCTATCCTGCACTATACAACATTCCCAACATGATTCACAACTATAAAAATGATACCAATAAAGGAGAATATTTGTAGCTCAGGATTGAAATGAAGGGTCCTTGGTGCTCTCTGAGCTTGCTTGTTTTCTTGCAGATGTTTCATTACCCAAACTAGGTCATATTATTAGTTTGGGTAATGAAACATCTGCAAGAAAACAACCAAACTCAGAGAGCACCAAGAACCCCTTATAAAAATGATACTTGCAAAATATTAAAAGAATAAAATATTGTTAAAATAAGGCTGGTGGGAATAACTAAAGAGTTAGGAAAAGAAGAAGGTGCTAGGACAGCCAATTTCATTACATGACACTATCTAGTAGTCTCTAATTGTCACCAGTCTACAAAAAAAGTCCGTTTTCATCTCAATTCATAAATAGCACAGAACTTTTAAAAATGAGACAGATTCTGAATTGTACCCACAAATGGGAAACAGTAAAACAAAGTATTCTAAATCTATCTACTAAAAAGCACACTAGACATGTCTTAAAGTAGCTCTAGTATTAAAAACTTAAAATTACCAACATCGCTTCTTTTGCTGTTTTAGTTACTATATTTATTTGGTTGCCAACAACATGCAGTATTATCTGAGCAGCTTATTTATAGTAAATGATTTGTTAACTTACAATAAAATAGTAAAATGCAATTTAAATTCGTGTCTCTCAGGATAACAAGTTTAAAAAAACAAAAAATCACTAATCCCCCAAATACCCTCAGTAGTCTGATGCACTGAGGATTTTTTCTTAAAATTAACTAATGAAGCTGAAGTTCACACAAGTTTTCTAATGGTGCATGTGGTATTACAAGTAGGGTTTCCCCCCTAATATAATAGCAGGTTGTAGATATTTGTTATGTGGGGAGGAAGGCAGGAAATTCCATTTAGCTTTTCCTCCTAGCATTAATACTATAATAATGACAAATTTGTCACATAGGCTCTTATTAGCTAGACAGAAAGGGGAATAGAAAGAAATATTCTTTTAAGATCATGGCCAAAAAGGGTGCAAACTCAGTTAAATCAACCTCCCATGTGTGCAGTTAAACTTTTAAACCTGATATTATTTCTGCATTTCCCTGTCATGTGTATTTGTAAACTACCATCATTTTGGGTCAGTAAAGCTCTTAATGTTTCCATTAAGTTATAAAAGCTGAAACATTCCTAAAACCATACTAGCACTATAGTAAGCGATTTGGCCGTGTATATTTTACATTATACATTACATTTACATTATAAGCTATGCTTAAAATACCCATTCGTTTGTTCTGTGCTCCTATCCCTCTGAAACTGATTTAAAATAATATTAAATATTATTTAAACATTGAAAGATTAAAGGATAAGTGGTTGTTAATAATATATTGTCATCTAAGACTTAAGAGTACCGTATATACTCGAGTATAAGTCGACCCGAGTATAAGCCGAGGGACCGATTTTCCCACAGAGAACTGGGAAAAATTGGTGACCCGCGCATAAGC